GCAAACAGATTTTTGTTGCCGTAGGGGCAGACACCGGTGTCCAGAAAGCATCTCAACAAGGGTAATTATTTGCTGGCAGTGCTCTGTATTCACAGAAGGTGCTTCACCTTGTTTGCAGCAGTAAAGGGCAGCTGAGCTATCGATCAGGTCAGATGCCTGTCACTCCTGCAGGCATCAGGGGCTTTAACAAGCCATGCAGAGACTGTATTGGAATTGTCATGGCTTCACGCTTGGTTTGTAAGGCAATTTGAAGCAGATTTATTGACCCTCTTCCTTCCCCTGCAATCCACAGGGTACAGAGAGAAGGAAAGGTGTCCAACTCAAAGTCTTGCCAGGACCTGCCAGAGGAGGTCCCAGCAGGACCTTTGGAAGAAGAAAGAGTTGAATGCTGACACCAGCAAAGATTTTGTTGGAAAAGCGTTGGCATGCTTCAGCTGAGGGCAAGATCACTGCAAAATGCTGCTACTAGAAGCATCTGTGTCCTCCAGCAAAAAAATGTATGTTTTCAGGGATTCCTAAACCCACACTGGTCTCACCAGATCCTTTCAGGTTGGCATAATTCAGCTCAGAGCACAGAGAAGTCTCTCCAGGTTTCTCTCCCACACTCTAAAACTCTAATGCAAGGAAAGGAGATGCAGTAGGAAAGGGGAGGGGGGAGGTGGGGAGGGCTGCAATTGGAAGGTACAGGGCCAAGTACTAACCCACAAAATAAAGTTTGTACCTGCCCACATTAGAGAGCAGCAGCAGGATAAATACTTAGCAGACTAGGTCTCACAATCTAATTTTCTCCCACACTGGCCAGTCACAGCATCTTCATCTTCCAGCACCGAGGACAGGAGCTTCACCTTGTTTCCAGCGCAAATTACTTCCAAAAGGCTTTGAAGGTCTTGAACTTTCCCAGCCACAAGGACTTACAGCAATACAAAAATTAGAATCTACAGAGCTCATGCCCCAGCCACCCAAGCAGCCCTTCACAGAGGTCACAAACCTTTTTCCAACATAGTGTTATTTTACAGCAGGCAATGGTGCAGTTTTTGCAGAAGAGGTGACAATGACCTAGTGTATCAAGAAACAAGGAAACTAAAAGGGGAAATGAAACGCTATGCAAGCAACTAGAGAGCTTCTGACTTTCAGCACCTGCCAAGAACTTCAGTTTCCCAATCTATCACCTTCATGACAAAGCTACTTGGGAAATCCTCCTTAAGCAGTTACCCTTGCCAGTTCGGGGTCATAGTAATGTGTTGGCTAACGTCTCCTAACTCCACTTGTGAAAAATAGAGTGATGCCCAGGGTAGCCTTTACCCAGTGCCAGCACACTCCCTGACCTAGAAGTCATCTGAACAATGAACAGCAGGGACTGAATAAGGAAAGGCAGAAGTACATGGACAAGAGAATTAAATAAAGTGTTAAGCAAACTGGTAGAGAGAGATGGTGGCATCTACCAAGAGCAAGTGCCCCTGTGATTGCATTTAAAATTTAAATGAGCCTGTGACTGAGCTGTCACATTTGACCACAGCATAAGTAGGGAGGAACAGCAGTGAGGGAGGGTAAGTTATGATCACTAGGGCTGTAATTAACAGAATCAAGGAACACTACATCATTCCCAGGGGCTACTGAAAGCCAGAAGAGGTATCTTAAAGCGTGTCTTCCCTGCCGAGGTGTTCATCTAAGGCTGTCACATTACCAATGCGTCTTATTTCTATTCAAAATGACTCAAAAATAAGTGTGGATAGTCAAGGAAGCTTGGATAAAATGGAAAACAAGCTCAGATGAGTTTCCATCTTAAACACTGCAGAAAGCCAGTCCAGTTGGCATTCCGTTTCTTTGCACCTTTATCCCATCCCTGTCTCTGCAGCATAGATGGGACCAGAAGAGGAAGAGCAAATAAGTCGTCAAACTATACCTATCCGTAGCTAGTCTTGATGAGAATTTTACCCTTCTTGCTTAGTGTAACACATCTGCATGATTCCCTTAATCTTTGGAGGTTAAACAAGAAGTAACACACAAGCAGAGTCACCCACTCAGACTCCACTTCTCAAGCAGATCTTTAGGAACTGCCGTAAGAAGATCATAGATTCATAGAACATTTTCAGCTGGAAGAGACCTTCAAGATTGAGTCCAACATTTTCTTAGCCCTATCAACACCACTAAACTATGTCCCTCAGCACAACATGTACCCTTCTCTTAAACACCTCCAAGCTGGAACAGCAGGTGCCTGTGTCCACTGTCTTTGGCCAGGATGAGAGGATAGATGTTATTGGAGTCACCAAGGGCAAGGGATAGAAAGTCATTGGCACACCAAGAAGTTGCCCTGCAAGACTCATAGGGGTCTCAGCGGAGTGGCCTGTATTGGTGCATGGCACCTTGCTTGCGTGGCTTTCTCTCTGGCCAGGGCTGATCAGAAGGGCTATCATCATCAGACTGAAATCAACAAGAAGATCTACAAGATCAGCCAGGGTTACCAAATCAAGGATGGGAAGTTGATCAAAAACAATGCATCGACTGATTATGACTTGTCTGACAAGAGCATTAACTTGGTGACTCAACTCCCTCCCTGGGCAGCCTGTTCCAATGGCTGACAACCCTCTCAGTAAAGAAATTTTTCCTAATATTCAACCTGAACCTCCCCTGGCGCAACTTAAGGCCATTTCCCTTTGTCCTATCACTCGCCACTGTGGAGAACAGACCAACCCCTGCCTCACTACAACCTCCTGCCAGGCAGTTGTAGAGAGCAGTAAGGTCTCCCCTCAGTCTCCTCTTCTCCAGGCTAAACAGCCTCAGACCCCTCAGCCATTTCTCATACAACATATGCTCCAACTCCTTTACCAACTTAGTAGCTAGTAAGGTCATTTTATTCTGTTGCAGGCCATGGGGACTGTAGCAGCAGTGGACCTACCAAAACCTTGAAGACGTTGGGCTGTCCTGCACAGGGAACCAGGGAGACCCTGAACACATGTAGCATTTGAGTTCCCAGCTGCAAATTACAGATTGGTCCATGAGAAAAGCAGCAGGCTCCCAAGGTAAGAGCAGCCAATAGTGCTTGCAGGAAATAGGTTTAATCAAATGCAAATATGCCCCAGTGATCCATAAGCAGAAGCAGCATGATTTGCTAGTCTAAGCACTGTATTAATACAGATCAGATGTGCTGCATTGACAAATCGATATCAAGTACAGGAAAATTTTTTTTGCACTTAACTAGCAGAATTTAAAACCAGGATTCAGGCACTCCTAGGAAGCAAGTTACAGCTTTGCTATTGAGAAGACAAGATAAAGCATATTTCCCACTAAGCAGCAGGACTAGCTCCAATGCTGCTTGCAGTTAGTGCCCCACTTCCCACCCTACAAGTTGAGCTGTAATTACATCAGGCAGACTGGATCTGCCTCCCTTTGAACTCTTTTCCAGAGAGAAATTGCCCAGCAGTAGTTCGAGCGCATGCAGTGGAAAGATGACCCCTGCAATTTATCTCTCAGATCTCAATAATAACTTGTCTTGGCAGCTTAGATTGCCTTATTATTTTGCCTTCAACACAAACTAGTTACTACATGAGGAACACAGGTTGGACAGTTGTCCAATAGCCTCTGACATGCTGAGCTCAAAGTTGGATCCAATTCTTTATTATATCATGGAATTGTGTTGCATCAATGGAATAACTTAAAGCCAAAGCCCAAGGATCATATAGTCCTGCCACAGCACAGCACCGAGTCATTACATACAGTAACATAGGATGAGAAGTGTTGTCAGAATAGAAATCACTTCTATTTAAAAGAGGAAGAAGTTCCACCTCTTCAACTTTATATTTCCTTTCCCCAAGAACATCCCCTCCTCAATCCCTCTTTCTGACCTCCATGAAAGAAAAGCTTTAACTTTTTTTAAAAAAAACAAACAAAACAAAATTTCTAGAAGAAACAGTACTCACATTGGATACAAATTCCATTTCTTTTCTTGACAGAAGGATGACCAGCAAGGAGTAGAGTTTTTTGTTTAGAAGTTCAGGAGGCTTTTGGTCCACAAGCCTTAGTTACATCACTGGCAAGTCTGAAAGCATTGAGCTGTTCAATCTCTTTAGAACAGCATCAGACATGGCAGCTGAAGAGCTCATAGCTCAACTGAAACCTCTGGCCAAGAAAGGTTGGTGCTGACAGTAGGTATCCATCACCTATACCCTAAGGACTCTCCATCAGCAAGTCCACACCTCTCACAGACAGACATTTCTGCAGCCCACTACCCCACCACAGACTGTGAAATCTTCACCAGGTAGCATCAGACAACTGCAGTGGGAGAATTAGACCTAGGACCACTAATGACAAGGGATGTCAGGATCCCGACAGCTCTCTGCAGCCTCTCCAATCATGGGAGAGTGCCAGGAGGACACATACACATCCCCAGGCTTGGGAGTGAGAAGAAACTACATTTCTTACTTCCCAAGACAATAGCAGGGCTTACTGTGCCACTGACTGCTCCCCAGTTCTTGCATTCCTGACAGCCCTGTCCTGGCATCAAGGATGAGATTGGAAGAGTACAATCCACATGTCTTCAGCAATACTCCCCTTTCCAGTCTTTCTCCAAGAGACACTAGAGACAGTAAGATGTTTTGCATGCAGTACTTTATTTTTAGTTATCACCTAGTACAAACAGCTTTCAGGAAGGCTATTTACATTGTATGCTAGCTGAAGGTTTAAGACCAACAGCAACTATTGTAAGAACATAGGCAGGATGCACTGATGAAGGTCATACCATAGACAGCTTACTAGGGAGGTGGAGCATTGCAGAGCTTCAGCTCTGTTCTCATTCTAGATCAGAGTTCCACCAGCAGTCCTGAAGGCAGCTATGAGCCCCCTCGGCTACATCCACCCCCTCCCTGAGGATTTGTTCACCAATGCCCAATAGTCACCCAAGATGCAACAGCTTCACCATCAGCTGGGGAGTGGGGTTATGTCAAGCTAAGACCAAGCTCTCACCAGAGCCACACCAGTCAGGGCTGTGCTCCTGGCCTTATCCTTTAAATCAAGGTGGCAGAGACTTGATGATGTCCTTCTACAACTGTCTCTGCCTCCTTCTCCTGAGAGGGCTCATCCTCCTGTGATGTTTTCTCCTGAGAGGGCTCATCCTCCTGTGATGTTTTCTCCTCCTTGGGAGAAAAGGGTCCCACCAGCCAGGACAGAGGAGTGTTGTTCTTCAGGTAGTCCAGCAGCTCCTCCATGTACTCCTGGATCACAGTCAGCTTCCTCTGGCTCTGGGTCAAGACACCGCTGGACAAGTCCTGGAAGGATTTTGCCACCGAGAAAGAAGCGTGGAGCTCCTCTATGGTACTAAGAGACTGTTTTACCTTAGCCTGAAGGCTTGAGGGAAGGCCTTGGATTGCAGACACTATTTTACAGCAGGCAATCTGGATCTGCTGTGTGATACCAAGTGCCAGGAGCAGGGCCAGAGACTCCATCTCCTGGGAGGAGGCAGGAAGGACAAGGTCAGAGGAAACAGTTAAAAAAAGAAGAAGTAAATTTAGAAGTCAAGGGGATGCCCAGAGCCCTTTGCTTCCCTGCCCAAGAAGTTACCTCTGGCTCTGCAAAGCCTTCATCTCCACTCTCTTTGAAAGACTTCCTACTCCAGTCCAGCCACATTTGGTGTAGTTTCTCCTGCCCCTCCTGAAGCTTTTGGTTAAATCCTTGCTTAAAAACTTCAATCTGTGGCAGGGGGAAGATCAGAGTGTTAATACAGATCTGCTGGTGAACAGCACAGCTCTGTCATAGCTATGAAGCTGAAAACAAGCCCATGATTTGCTCCCCTCCTTCCAGGAGACTGGGCTTTACCTACCAGTTCAATGATGCAGTGAAGCTGTGCAAGGGCCTCCCGCATGCCCTGCCAGGCTTGTTTCACTTGGTCTGTTGAGTGCAGGTGGGCAAATACGCGAAGTTCATCAGAGAGAGACCCCAACCGCACAAAGTATCTCCTCTTCTCCTGCTGCTCCTCCACAGACATTATGTCTGCACCCTCTGCAAATGCTGCCAGTTTGGCTGAGGAAAGGGACAGTATCCATCAGTGGCTGACCAGAGATGCTTGCCACACAGTAAATAAGTATCAAGAGATCTTGGACTAGGAGCCAGGTAGCCTCCAGCACAGCACTTTCCATCAGCCCCATTCCAGAGCAGTGGGGTGAGGAATGGAGCAGAGCCTCTCCAAGATCGATGGTTCCCATTATCAATAGTCACATGTATCATTCCTTACCTAGTTCCTCATTTGCAATTGGGAGAGAGTTGCCTTCTGTTCCAACCAGGACAGCTTCTGCTCCACTTACAGCAGTCTGACCCTCTCTGGAGTCCATAACCATTCCCACGCTGCTGGTCACTGCAGATTTGGCAGCCTCCATGCTGCTCTGAAGAGTCTCCTTAGTTGCATCCATCATCTCTGTCACTTTGCTGCTCACAGCATCCTTTGCATCAGCCACTTTGGATGATACCAGCTCTTTCGTATCAGAGATCACCTGTGAAAGAGAACATTTATGTCAGATAAGGGATTGGGTGATGTTAGTACAATAGAATTCCGAAAGAGCAATTAGCAAAGTGTGTGCTAAGTATTTACTCTGGTAGGAGCTTGCACTATGCACCTTGTGGGTAAAGCTTAACTCCAAAGGTCAGAAACCCTGCAAGAATCAGGTCTCTCTATCAGTCACAGACAGCATGGCCTCTGGTTCTTACCTGTTCCACTGGCTTTTGAAGGAGTGGAAGCTTTTCCCCTAGTTTCTCCAAACTCTTGGAGGCATACTCACTTGCTGCAGTAACTGAAAAGAAAAAAAAAGTCAAAGTCTGATTTTCCACAATTCTATCTCAAGTTCTACCTTCCTGAATATATTGCTCTGCAGGGAGCCTAGATGAAAGTCTCTATTCTGAACACCAGGCCAGGTGTGTTGTAAACTGAATTCTTAGGGCAGCTTGTCTTCATCTCATAGATTTATTCACTTTAACGGCACCCAGTTTGCACTTCTACATGAGATCCCCTCTTGAAGCTTCCCAAGCTCTAGACTAAACAAGTGCACAGCTCTCAAGGCTGAGGCTCAAGCCTCCACATCCCAAGGATCCAGAATCACATAGTAACTGTCAGGAGGGGGGATGCTCCCTCTGGGCTTAGTGTAAACTCAGGCCTGTTGCACAGACTGTTTTGTCAGGCATTTGTCATTAGGAATACTCTAGGAGTTTAGAGCTTCTCAGATGTCAATCTTTAAAGGCCATTGGCAAACAGGACTTTTAGATGTCCTCCAAGAAAAGATTTTTTCCTGTAGCCACCATGAACTTTTAAAAATCTGACTGTAAGCATCTGCCACCTGCTACTTTGGACCCTACAAGACCAATTTTAGGGAATTCAATATCAGAGTCAAGCCCTTGTCCTCCAGGGAGAAACCCTACCTCGCATTGCTTGGACTAGGACTCTGCTTTTTAGCCTGACTTGTAAGCCAAGCATTGACCTCTTAGTAAAGTGATAGAGTGGTGCATCTCTACATCTCAGGACTCCTTCCAGAGCTGGAAAGAGTCCCTCTCAGGGAATTACCATGAGGCTCCAGCGTAGTCAGAACTGGCTGCACGCAGCTGGCTGTTGCCTCAGTCACAGTCCTCACTCCTTTCTCTGCTGCATCACACACAGATCTGACATAGGGGTGGGTCTCCTTAGTGGAGGCATAAACTGTAGAAACCATATCACAGGCAGAGCTGACCAAGGTCAGGTTAGCCACCTGACTCACTGCATCCTAGAAGAACAAAAACATAAAAGAGCCATGAATCTTGCAAACATGACCCTGAGCTTCCTACACAGTTTTGCTACAAGACCTCCTCTTCAACCTTACTCTGGCTGGAGAAGCAAGGTTTGCCTAACCTGGACACTTGCTTTAAAAACTACAATTCATTTCTGAAACAGGGAAAGAAGCTGTGGACTATTGACACTTCCAGTTGGCTCATTCTGGAAAGGTCTTCCTCTAGCACAGTGCTCCCCAAGGCAGAGTAGAGTTTGTGAGCAATATCACTATGTCTGTACCCAGCTCCAGTTCATTTGATATAGCTACTTAACAAGCTAATGTTCCGGAAAAAGTTTCAACACACAGAATAGAGCTGGGTTTGAGCTGAAAGACTTTACACTAGTGTGCAAGAAGTTTGCTGCTTGGTCCTGGGAGTAAAGCAAGTACAGCAGGTTCCAGTGCTGCTGAAACACAGGAGCCTTTCCACAGAAGCACTGCTTGCAGCAAGCCAGGACCTTGACCTATGGAGTTAGAGAAATAGCCTTCCTAGCCAAGAGCCAGCTTATCTTGCTTAGCCTAGGAAGTTACTTAGAGGGTCTTCAGGTCTACTCTTTTGTCTGTGTTACCATCCGCATTTCCAGAGAAGCTGCGGATCACAGCCTGAGCAGAATAAACACTCTTCCCTTTGTGCAGACCCAGCTTCCTCCGGCCACACCAGGGTCACCTCCTCACACCTGTACCCAGGAGCTGCCACTCCTTACACCTCACACAGAGCACCCACCTCCTGCTCCTCTTCCCTCACCACCAGGGAGGTCTTGGCAGCTTCCTCTTTGTCAGGCATAGCAGAGGCCATTGCAGCTGAAAAGCAAGTAGCACCATGGGTTTAGGAAGAAAATACAAAGCAGCTAGTAAGCACTTTCCTCCAGCTAAAAGTAGGTTGTTTATACCAGGTAAGACCCCCCCAAAAAAGTCCATCCCCATTACAGAAGGAAGGGATCTGTGCAACTTGCAAAGCTACCTATATAAGTTTGACGTGGTTTATGAGAAGCAGAAAAACAAGAAGAAAAAAGTCTTTTCTCATCCAGGACAGCTAATATCAGAGAGATCATAGTGCTTACTACCGATACACTTAGAAGCAGCACTGGGCACCTCCTCCCTCCTTACCAAGGCTTCGAGGAATTCTTGTATTAAATAGGTAGTAACAGAAGAACTAGAGGGGAAAAAGCAGCCCAACAAGCTGCCCCACACCACCCAACCAAAGCCAGCTCTTTGCTCAAAACCAGCACAGAGTGTATCTAAACTTCCAGGCAGGACCACAAGCAACTGTGTGTTAACTAACTCCATTTCAGAATTAAGCTACATAAGAAACATTCAAACATGAACCAAGAGTTCATAGAGCTATTACAGCTTCAACATCCCAAAACTTCCCCTGAAAATTTGAGAGCAGTACCTTTTTTTCACCCTTGTTGGAGGCAAGCAGAGAACCAGCAACAAAAATCCAGACACCACACCATGCCCCCTCACCCCCACTCTGCCTTTTTATACCAGCTGGGGGAGTGGGGTGAGGAGGGACCCTCAGTGACTGGCAGCTCTGGGAAGCAGTAGAAAGGAGCCAGCTTCTGTCCTGGCCAATTAGAGGTGAAATGGGACCCTGGTGTGGCTCATTAATTACTCTCTGATGAGGCAGGCACACCTTGCTCTGTATAGAGGAGCTCCCTTGAGAGGCTGGTGCTCCTGCAAATTGAGAGGGGTATTGCTGGCACAGCCCATGAACCTTCTAAAATCTTGCCTCAGATCATATGCTGTCTGGAAACGGCAATTAGTTTTGTTCTCTATTCAATGGGAAACAACAAGTAAAAAGCAAAGCAAATATATATTTAACAAATCCAGAGAAGCACTTCATACATAACATGGGGTTCCTATTGCACTTACCTGCTAGTGCTTAAGGCAGAAGCACCTGCCCAGCTGCTGCCTAATCTTAGAAACACTGGATCTCAAGATCCTCATCTTGATATCCCAGGGTCTCTTTACACCCAGCAGCCCAGGAGAGGGCCAGCCACGGTCCTTCTCCTCTCGGCAGAGCTTTGCCTCATTGCAGAAAGACCATTTCTATTCACCAGGTCTCAGTACATGCAGAGACCTGCCCCGTGGTGGTGGGCATCACTAGGGGCAAGAAGGAAGCCAGCAGTGTCTAGGTCCCACAAGGACTCTCCCTGGATGCAGTCTAGTGACTTTAAAATAGAGAAGTCTTGGAAATGGTTCTTATTTGATTTACAGAGGAGCGATTATACTGAACAAGCCATTCCAGGGGTTTTCCCATAGATCTGTGTCCTGGGGCTGCTTTTCTCTGGCTTTGCTGATGATTAACGAGCAAGTCACACCATGTGCTTCTCTTCAGAGGAGGCATTACCATGGTCACCTCTCATCTGAGTCACCTCTTTGCCTGATTTTATTGGGATCTTGAGGCCATGGTGTCCTGTTAAGCCTGAAATCATCCAAGCAGTTCATACATTGTATGGGGGAAGGGAAAATGAGTAGTCACACAAATGCACACAGAACACAGCTCTGACTCACCAGGTTAATGAGAAATAAGGGCACAGCGATGGGGACACAGTGGCTGATCAAGGATTTTCATTTGGCAGCAGGTCAATACCTGCTGAATAAAACTTTAAAGATACCTCGAAAAGAGATGTGTTACTGGATGATCCCAAGCAGACACTGATTTCGCAGCTTTGGATTTGTCAGTGATAGCTATGAGCATGTGTAAAAGCAGTTTCACACTCCTGGATATTACTAATGAGCAATAAGATTTCAGGTTATTTAAGGGACACTTCATTTCTAAGTTTGTCCGAGGTGCCACAGGCCAAGTTTGTCTGGGGGTTGGCTGCCGAGCTCTCAGCTCTGCGAGTGGGTCATCATCTGCACCTCCCTGCAGCTAAAACCTTCTTGGGGGACGCACATTTGTTTGTGTGTGCTGCTGGGGGGGTCTTTCTTCCTATTCCCTGCTGAGACCACCTATTGCGAAGGAAAGACACTACCCAGGGTGGGGACAGGGAGAACACAGGCGCAGTGAAGGGCACGATTTGAGTGTAAATCATGTAGAGAAGTTATGGAGGTAACTTATCCAACAGGTCCTGGCAGTCTGCTCCAGTTGGCGCTAGAGAAACCAGTGAATCAACCAGCTCAGTTAACCTAAGAGGGTCACAGCTAGCAGCTGGTTCTGTCTTTGTACTACAAGGTAACCACCGGCACCATTTGCAAATGAGTGGCTGTTTCTGTGCTCTCTTTGAAGACCACAGAGCCATTGTGGTCTCCCACCAAGGCAGAGCCTGTAGATGCTGTATCCATGGCGACAGCTTCTTCCACTTTCAATCATTCCACACCAATTAGTGGCAAACTTCACCGTGCTAATGATGGGAGTGGGGAGGCCGGCACACTGGGCTGGATTTGGGGACCTTGGGACTCTGCCCTCAGTTCTGCCAGCTGCCTGCAGGGTGACTTTCTCTGAGACTGTTGGCCTCTGTGTCTCAACTTCTCCATCTTTAAAATGGTGATCGTGATATTGACCTTTTCTGCAACACACTTTGTGATCTGCTGACGGAGAGTGCAAGATCAGTTTGATGAAGAGGAGGCTGAGGGGGACCTCATCATGCTCTACAATTACTTGAAAGGACATTGTAGAGAGGTTGGTGCTGGTCTCTTCTCACAGGGAATTAGGGACAGAACCAG